TCTCCACCAAAAGACCCGTCAGGATTACATCTTCTCCAAAATTGGCTCCCCTAATCATCATTATGCCAGGGCCAATACCATATTCCTCGGACAAAGTTGTTCCCTGGAATTATGCGGCTGACGTCTATTTCCATGGCGTCAAGCAAGACCTGTTGGCTGCTGAAGACGAAGTTTATGGAAATAATGATCCCGACATCGGCAATATCGTTGGGACCAGTAAAATAACGAGAAGCGGAAGAGTGTTCTCACCCGAGATTTCTCCTCCTAAAGCCGTCACTATTCCTGTGATCATTCCTACTGTTGTTCCTGCTAATACTACCACTACAACTCCTATGATTACTCCTGTTGCCACCCGTGCTACCGAGTCGGCCGAGACTCATGGCAAAGACATATTGGTTGAGCCTGTCCAGACGAATGTGCATTCAGAATCCATTCCAGAGGCTTCCAAGAAGGAAATGGAAGAAATCTTAAAGATCATTAAAAAAAGAGACTATAATGTGGTCGAACAGCTGGGGCAGACCCCTTCTAAGATTTCAATGTTGGCCCTACTGTTGTGCTCCGAAGCCCATGCAAAGGCTTTGGTAAAATTCCTCAAAACTGCTCATGTTCCACAAAAAACCTCCGCTGACCAATTTGAAGATTGTGTGGCTAGTTTGACTGCTGATAATGGATTGGGTTTTTCTGATGTTGTTTGACACCCAGAGGAAGGAAACACAATGATGCGCTGCATGTCTCCATCGAGTGCAGGGGAACTACTTTGGCCCATGTTCTAGTGGATACCAGTTCATCGCTGAATGTTCTTCCCAAGAAGACTCTTGACAGATTAGACTGCGAAGGTTTGACTCTAAAGCCCAGCAACATTGTGGTGAGGGCTTTCGATGGTTCGAAAAGAATGGTGCACGGGGAGGTAGACATCCATATCAAAGTTGGTTCCCAAACCTTTGAATCCACCTTCTACGTGATGGATATCAGACCATCTTATTCTTGTTTGTTGGGTCGCCCTTGGATCCATGGGGTTGGAGTTGTTACTTCCACTCTGTATCAGATGCTGAAGTACCCAGTAAAAGAAAAGATTGTCACAGTGCATGGTGAGGAGGAGTACATGGTAAGCCACTTGAACTCTTTCAGATATGTGGAAATGGACGGCGAGTTCATCGAGACTCCTTGTCAGAATTTTGAAGAGATGACTCAGACCATGGCTGCAACCGAGACTGTTACCAGTATGCCAAAGATCACCAGACCTCCTTTGAAGATGGCTTCACTCAAGGATTCCAAGTCAATCATTGAAGAAGGTGGATGTACCATTTAGAGCCAGCTCCCTGACATTCCATACAAATCTGATAAGTTTGACTTGGGTTTCACTTCAGGGGCTCAAAGAGTTGTTCGTCGTGCTCGCGCCGGAGGACCTCCCATATGCATCAGCAATCATGGGATCCACGCTTTAGAAGACATTGATGGTGACTATGACATGGACAACTGGATCTTCCCTACTACCAACGGTGGACCCAGTAACTGGACAGCTAAAGACTTTGTGCCGATTACTTTTATTCAGGAGTAATTGTCTTTTTGTTTTTCTGGATATGTAATAAATGAACAACATAAACTCTATGGCCATGCGCCTTACCCGGGGCACAATGGTTTATTTGTGAGGGTTATCATTTTTCAATTTCATATGTCATTAATAAAGCATTGGACGTTTCTTGCATATAAATTTTTGCGCTCTTTATCTTTCTTTTCTGCTTTATTTTATCAATTCAGCTATGATCTTACACACACTCACGCATCACACTACAGATTCATATCCACTCTAGATCCCATTGATAACGGTTCTGCTATTACCGGTTATGACTTTGAAAATCCGATCAACTAAGCCAAAGACGAAGGTGAGGAAGATTGTGAGGTACTGGGAGAGCTTGCTAGACTGCTACAGCAGAAAGAAAGAGCTATACAGCCTCATGAAGAGCTAGTTGAGATAGTTATTTTTGGTACTGAAGAGGACAGAAAAGAAGTCAAGATATGTGCAAATTTAGAGCTTAGTGTCAAACAACGATTGATTTAGATGTTGCATGATTATGTTGAGATATTTGCTTGGTCATATAAGGACATGTCGGGACTAGACACTGATATTGTGGTTCATCGCATGCCGACAAAAGAAGGTTGCCCTCTAGTAAAGCAGAAAGTCTGTCGTATGCATCCTGAAATGTCAGAGAAGATCAAGGAAGAAGTTATGAAACAGTTCAACGCTGGGTTCTTAGTTGTTACCTCCTATCCACAATGGGTTCCTAACGTAGTTCTGGTGTCTAAGAAGGACGGCAAGGTACGTATGTGTGTGTACTACAGAGACTTGAACAGGGCAAGCCCCAAGGATGACTTTCCGCTTCTCCACATTGATGTTCTGGTTGAAAACACCGCACATCATAAGATCTTCTTCTTCATGGACGGGTTCTCTGGTTACAATCAGATCAAGATGGCACCCGAAGACATGGAGAAGACAACCTTCGTCACACAGTGGGGCATTTTATGTTACAAAGCGATGTCGTTTTGGTTGAAGAACGTTGGGGCAACCTATCAGCGAGCTATGGTAGCTTTGTTCCATGATATGATTCACCATGAGATAGAGGTCTATGTTGACGACATGATAGCCAAATCTCAAATGGGAGAAGAGCACATTGATCACTTGCAAAAGTTGTTCGATAGGTTGAAGACGTACAAGTTGAGATTAAATCCGAACAAGTGCACCTTTGGTGTAAGGTTTGGTAAATTCATAGGAGCTCGTATTAGCAAACCACCTCCTACCTGCCTCCACCAAAAGAAACTGCCAGTTTTTATGTACAATTACATTGAACGGATCGTCAATGTCAAGGGTGATGGTAACTATGGTTTTTGAGTTGTTTTTTCTTTACTCGATAAAGGAGAAGATGATCACACACTTGTCCGCCATACTCTTACCTGAGAGTTAAGGAGCAATAAAGAATTATACATGCGATTATACGAGAATAAAGAAAATGTTTAAGAAATTTATCACTCTCTTGTTCCTTGCACTAGTGGACCTGCACCGGAGGATAAATGGATGAGCTATCTCATTGCAAGTGCATATGAGAGAGTGTGTATTGATCTTCAAGATACATCTTCTTGGAAACTTTTTTTCCACTGCGCACTGCTCCACCTCCAAATCGAAATGATCGTATAATATGTATTTGGTGAGTTTCTAATCTGCGGCATTTTGTTCAAGTTTATTTGAAATCGGGATGCCTTATACCACTTACATCACTGGAGTGGACAACTCATTACACAACCAAAGTCGAGAGTTAGCTGAACCAATTTGTTGAAAGTAGAGATGGCAATGGATACACATGGGCACATATACTAGTTTCCCGCTACCCACCCCGTTTAATAAATATGATACCCGTACCCGCCGCATACCCGTGCGCGTATCCGTTAGACGGATATCCGTGAATTTTGAGATGCCCGCAGATATGTACGGATATCCATGGATACTTTTATTTAAATATTTCTTTTTAAAAAATATATAATAAACTAAACTTTAATTCTTTTTAAAGTCAAATAATAATTTCAAATTTAACACATAATAATAATAATAAAAATAAATCATATTCATTTTATTTCTTCTTTTTTCAAATAATTATATTATACTCAACACCATAATAATAGTTTGATATTCAACATAATAATAATAATAATAATAATATTATTATTATTATTATTATTATTATTATTATTATTATTATTATTATTATTATTATTATTATTATTTTAGATTAAATAAACTAATATTTAAGTAATTTTGTTAATTATTGGATACAGATACATGCGGGTACGGATACCATCAAATTCATATTTGTACCCGTAAGTAAACGAGTAACTAAATATCCATTTATTTTACCCGTGGATTAAGACATCTTACCTGTATTCGTGACGGATTTTACCCACAGATATCCATAAATACGGGGTTTTTTGCCACCCTATTAAAAGAATGCAAGAGTTCACCAAATTAAACAAGATTGAAAGAGAAATAAATAAACAAAAATCAAAAAGTTACCACCAATAGTTGTAGATTTGATCGACGACAAGTATTTCGATTTATTTTAGTAGTTATTTATCAATTTTTTATAAGTGACATTGTATTAATGTGTTATGATGTCTAATATATACATTTTGAAGTTTGTCAAAAAATATTTTCATAAATGTATCCTGATACAAGATAGAGTTTGTGAGATCCATATTAGTCTTCCACTAATATAAATTTAGATCACCAATATCCGATCTACTAAACCAACTAATCAAGTTCAGAACAAATTTTAACATCAGATCAAACTGTGATCCTTCTTACCAAATCCAACGTCAACCATCATTAGATCAATTAATGTTTGATATAATACAAATGATTATTTACCAAATCCAACATCAATCATCATTGGATCAATTAATGTTTGATATAATACAAATGATTATTTACCAAATCCAACGTCAACCATCATTGCATCAATTAATGTTTGATATAGTACAAATGATTATTATTATAGCTTGTTGATAAAAGATTTAAAATCTATTTAAATTTAACTTTCATGATCATAAATCTTAATTTATTTGTTATCTTCCGGATGACGGTCCCGAGTCCAGTGCCTTTTAGTTTTTACAAAAAAAAATTAAATCTCTTGATTTTTCTTTTATCAAAATAATCTCATTAAGATCTCAATCTAATACACCTTAAAACTATTTTTAGGAATACGTGGGGACCAATATTAACTCCACAACCGATAAATTCTTGGACTCTTACATTCACTTCAACTCTTAGGCTAAGACTGTCACAACCCAAAAAATATATATAAAATAAAAAGAAAAATCAACTCAGAAAATTTGCATAGTAATACTTCAACACTCTTTATGTTACAGTAACCAACTGCAAAATCAGTTTCATGAAACAAGGAGACATGTATACAAACAGCTCCTCCTGGAATGAAACTTTCTTATAGTTATCACTATCTTTCTTCCTTCCCTCCTAAATTAGCCTCTTCAGATGTGTCCTCGATCTCAGGGGTAGCATTCACTGGTTCATTGTGTCTGACCAAACTGTCAGAAGCACAAATACCATCATTTTTAACTGCCTCTCCATCATCTGTTTCAGGAGACCTGGTGTTTGTCGTATTAAGAGCAGATATGGACTCAGCTGAATGCTTTGGTTTGTTCAGGGCATGACAGTGTGGGCAGTAGTAAGTGATAAATGGGAAATCCTCTCTCCTAGCAAGACCTGAAGAGAAATAAGAAGATAAAGAACACTTTCCCTACCAATCTATTCATACACGAGCTCACAGACTCACTATATATGTAATGTATGTGTCTATGCATGTATCAAGTAAGAATGGTATTGAGTGAAAGGATGAAATATTGAACATAAGACCTTATCATGGTCAAAAATTTGAAATAATATTTTTTTAGAGTAATCAAGTATTAAATATTCATCTTAACTATCTATATACAATTGCATTGTTGCATAGTCAAAATCTATTTCTATTAGTAATGTATTAAAAGCCTTCTTGCTAGAGCACATATCTAGTAAAGAGCATACGAGGTGAAAGGAGCTAGTATTAACTGAAACATAAATGGGATGGTCAAGATTGGTTATGCTGAAACTTAATTTTAACCATCCATGCATAATTTTATGATAAAGATAAATTTCTCTCACCCTTTCATTTTCTGCAATAGATGCAAGAGAACAAAAGTCAGTAAGGTTAAACCTATTACACTCACCATTATGCATATAGCAGTTACCACATATGAGTGCATAAGACTGCTTTGGATCCTCACCCACAAGCAATGCTGCAATTTGAGCAATCCATCCCCCATCATATTTTGTTGAGCTTTGAGGTTGGTGATGCTCGACAACTACAATCTGTTTCTGTGTGCGAGTCTGCGTTTGATCAGTTCCCCTAGAAGCAACGACTTGTTGATCGGTATGATTTGCAGTGGTTGTCCCCAGAGTAGTGGATTGAGCTTGCCCTTGTTTGCGATTCCTAAGTCCACTAGACTGCACAGGTTCAACATTGTTGGTCTTTCCTGTCGGAGCACCAGATTTAGATTCATCTGCCATGTGCAGTTTCAAACCTGACTCTGCACCCAACTTGGATGCCAAAACAGTTGCAGCAGCCGCCTTTGCTGCTGGGTCTGTGTCATATTTCTACAATCACAAGTAAAATCAAGCACAGTTAGATTAAGAACATAAAGCATAAGAAATCTCGTTGCAATCTAGCATGAGTTTTAGAATATATATATGGCATATGGGCCTTCTTTTCAAGGGTCCTCTTAGTAAGTTGAATCTAGTATTTAAAATGAGGTGGCGGCTGTGGATTGGTAGCATTCACATTGAGGAGGCTTTTATATTAGCTCAAGGGAAATATTCCCCCTTATTGGGTGGTATCAAGTGATAGGGGAGGGAATGTTAGGGGATCAAAATGTTTGACCTGATTTGATGATTATAATATGAAATGCCAACATATATAGTTATAGTAGCATATAATTAATACTAAAATATTCACTTCATAAAATGCACCAAAGGTAGCCTCAAGATTTTTTTAGATTTAAGAACATAGACAGATCAATACAACCCCAAACAACAAGGAGAAAATGTGATATTGAAAGCCATGTAACAAGTATCACATCAAACAAACACCTGAATGAGTTGTTGAGTAATGTAATAGTTTGTCTTCTCTTTGAGGTCATCAATTTTTTCCTTCCTTTCAGCTCTCAGCCTATCAAGAGTTTTCAGGTCCCTGCGATCACCTATCAAAATAACACCTTCATGTTAAAAATCCAACCAATATTATTTGCACTAGGCATATCAAACTCTAAAGACGGGCTTCCAGTCCAAAAAACTGCACCCATTAAATTGCATGACTCGGGGTACCAAGTTTTTTTGTTCAAATACTGCTCCTTAAAGCACAAATTTATTTACATAGAAGCTTCATTTTGGGTATTTGTCCTAAACTGCATCATTTCTAGGAGCTTCTAATAAATATACTAATGACACAAAGATCACGTTTCGTTATCGGTATTACTGCCAGACTACACCAAGGCAATCAGTATAATGCATAGAGAAAGAAGTTCGTTTTAAATTATTGGCAGGAAATCCACTTGAAGCATAAATAACAACAGAAATTCTACAGAAAATGACGAAGTCGGAACTATTTCCGAACAGTAAAATACTTAATATATCAACACTATGCCAAACCTCAAGTTTAAAAATAACATGGGAAATACAGAATTAAAGGTTTTATTGACCTGGATGTCAGACTGCAAATTCAGTAGAACAATCCAAATGATAAAGAACTAGTGATCTGATTTATAAAAATAAAAATAAACTAACTTCTGCAAGATATGTGTATTAATTAGAAATTTTGTGACACATACACATCCTTATGAAGCTTACAAATGTTGAATATGCAGCAGATGAAAATGCAGGCAAAAGAAACATCGGCAAAACTCGAATTGCCCTCATTTTCCAATTCATATCCGCAGTTCTTGTTGTCATAATCGCATAAGCTACGGCAATGACCTGAAAATGTTGAAAATATTTTAAGCAAATATATTTTTCTGGCAATGCCAAGATATAAAACCCTTGGTAAAACAATACTAATATATCGTCAAATTTGTTTATAATTTGAGCAAGCCCCTCTTTTTCATCCTACAAAAAGACTTTTACTATCAGATAATTATATATATTTTGTAAACATCACAAGTATTATAAACTTAAGTTTTCAAATACTTTTATCATCAATTTAGTAACCAAAGCGTCATCTCCTTCTGTTACTCTCCCTTGAAAGATAAAAAAAGAAGATAAAAAATGACAAATGGGCATGTTACTCTCCCTTAAAGTCCAAATATACCTTCTCATTTTTGCATATTTTCAAATGTAAATCCAACATACACCAAAACATAGCAACAAGTCCAATTATTACCATAGAATTTAACTATAACCTATCTATTGCGAATTTTATGGACTGGTGCAAGAATAATTAATAAATAAGTAAATAAAAAAAATGAATAGTTAAATGAATAAACATCTAGAGTAAAAATCGGAACGAAATCTATACCTCAAAGAAAACAGAAAAAATAATAATATGGCGAGAAGTTCGGCTCCACGAACGGGTTCTCTTGTTCATCCTACTCGTAACCAAAGACTCTTCCTTAGAAATACTCTGAAGCCGTTTTTCCAAATTATCTCTATTAGACCTAAACACAAAATTCCAAATTCGAGAAAATAAACCTTTACGCTTCTTCTTTCCGTCTCCATGAGTAGAAGATTCAACAGTCTCACTCGTCTTCTCTTTCTTCTCGCCGACGCCGCTACTAACCGCTTTCTCTTCCGCCATTGCCGCAATCGTTATCGAAACGCGGTGTTAGACTCCTGATTAACGGAATCGATGCAAAAGTTGAAAATCAAAGCGCGTTGATCTCAGAAGGCTCGAGAAGGTTTCGTCACGCGCGAGGGTGTCACCGAGTTGACAAATTATGAAGCGTAACCTTCGGGAATCGGATTTAATTGGGGTTTTCGTTAACTTTTCAACATTTTTTTCTTATATTATTTATTTATTATTGTTTTTTTTTTCACATTAGTCGTTATTGCATTCTATTACTATTTGTTATTTTTATTTCTCTTTTTCTTGGTCAACATGTTAAAAAATTAGAATATTTTTTTGCATAGTAAACGAACAAATAGAGTGATCAAATGATCTAACATTGTAAGCCTATAACCACAATACTATTAGTTTCTTTTGCACATTGCATATTGTTAGACGTTGTTATAAATGTATGATTTTAAAATGAAAAGCTACCTCTATTTTAATATTGTGAAGTTAGGAATAATTTATTTTAGTTTCAGATGTATATATTTGATTTATTTTTTCTTCAATTTTAAACAAAATGTATCAATTCGAATTAGTTTGTTTGAGCCGAAAAAACAGATGAGTTTTTTTCTAATAGAAGATAGTTTTCTTTCTTAAAAATATTTCTGTAAGAATATATGAAATATTATACAATTTAATTTTATGAGAATATATATGTAGTTTATAAAGTTAATATACTTTTATATTTTTTAATTTTTTAATAAAAAAATAATTGCAAAAAAATTAAAATATTACTTTATAAATTTTATGTAATAATTATTATATTAATATATTTTTTATCATTCAGAATTCAAACACGTAATATGTAGAAATCTTATCTAATTTTAACTTTGTAAAAGTAAAATTATATTTTAAAAAATAGTACATAAAAATATGAGTGATGCCACAAAAATAGTTATATATAATTAATATATTGAAAATCTATTTTAATATAAATAATAGATTGTAGTTTTTTAATAATATTTCTCATTTAAATTTGTTTGATATTAACAAGTTGATACCGAATTAATGTTCTTGGTTTTTAGAATCAGTTTGGTAGGTATTGAATTTTATTTTTTTCGCGTCGGTGTTGTAGCATATTTCTTCGATCATGTCTAGGCCGAATCAGTTTGTGTGGAGGTGGATTTCAACGAGTTTCTCCACCAAATAGTTTATGTCAGCTTACATTATGTGTAGTCTGATTACTGCTATTGAGTGATATTGACAAGAAGACTTTGAATTGCATTTGAAAAACAAGTGTTCCTTCAAATGTTTATCGGTTTGCTTGAAAGTTGATCTTGAAAAGACTTCAAATGAAAGATGAGCTTGCTAAGAGGGGGCGTTAGTTCAGATACTCACAATCTAGTTTGTCCACTTTATTTAGATCCAGAGGAGACTCGTCTTCATCTCTTTCTTTCTTATGATGTTGCTGGCGAGATTTGGACCAATACTTTAGATTGAATAGAGATTTCTTATTCAAAAGTATCTCTTGATATTTCTAATTATTAGATGTCTTATTTGGTTTGATATAATGAGGACTATTTGGTTGATCTGAAATGATATTTTATTTAAGAGTGAGACTAAAGAGAGTCTTGAGATTGTAAATATGGCGAAATCTTTAGCGTGAAATTGATTTTGTACTAGATCATTAGGATATCTTACAGAGTCTAACATGATTTAGATGTCCGATTCAGTTGAACTTTTAATTCAATGATATTTTTTCTATCCTTGTATTTACTTTAATACAATTCTTTTGTTTATAAAAAAACAAATTAGTATGGTGTAAGACTCCATATGTCTAAATATCACGCCTTAATATTTAATTAAGTGTTAATTTTAAAATAATTTTGACATTTTTATTAGATATTATCTTCACTGTAAATTATTTAATAATTATATTTGTGAATAATTAAGTGTACCATGTCAAGATAAATTAATGAATATCTGTTTGGTGGGAAGCAGAGATCTAATGTTATAAAAAGTCAATGAAAGTATTAAGCCGTCCTTTTATATGAGCTCGCCTCCAAAAACTTAAATTGTGATTTATTACCGTCAGTAGACTCTACAGTCATACAATTAATTATTTATGATTATTTAGTGATTCTGATTTAAATTTAAATTATAATATATTTTATTAATTAATTAATTTTTTTTTATAAAGTGTATGATTAAGATCAAATTACTATAGATTTTTTAACTGTATGATTGTGGAAAAATAGCGACGGTAAAAATTAATTTCGAAAAATTTATGTTCACATTTCTATGACTGTTTTTTAAAATTTTTTTATATAAATTAGAGAATATTATCAGAAGACATTACACTTTTATAAAATTAATCTTATTAATGTATTAAAAATAATATAATGAGTAAAAAATAAAGGATATAATTGAAAAATAATTATTATTATTATATTGAAAAATAAAAATGATATTCATTTTAAAATAAAATTTATATATTCATTTTAAAATAGAAGAAATATTTTCTTTTCTCCCACTATCTATTCATTTTTATTTCTATCAAACGATAACAAAATCATTTTGTTTTGACTTACTATTTTTTTATGTATTATGTTAATCTCGAGTTTTATATTGATCATCTAATTTATAAAAATTAAAATTAATTTTTTAATTCTTCAAAAAAAAAATCATATGAAACATTTTTATCTAATTAACAATAAAAAAATTTAAAAATTACTCATTAAATAAACAAAAAAAAATATTATAATACATTTGAAAAAATTAAGAATTTTAATATAAACTTTATTAAGTTAAGAGATTAAAATAAAATATTAAATTAATATAAACCTTTCATTTTCTACCTATAACATTCATTTCTCTATCTTTTTCATTTCCCCGTTATTTTCTAACTCAAACAAAGCATAAGTGATTGTGTCATATTAAATATGAGATCAAGACTTGTTACCAAAATAAAAAGAAGAGATCAAGACATATGAGCTAATCTAATTAACAACATTCTTATAATTTCATAAATCATTTAAGACTCACATAAAGCAGATCATTAATTTGATAAGGTCATGATTAATTATTTAGTCGTTGTCAACTTGATTTGTTTTAAGGAAAAGGTAACTAAGCTTAAGGAAGAACATAGAGAATGAAGTGATGAAACTGTTATGAGTTAATTTGCCACCGTGAGAATAACAACACAACAATTTTTTTTTTGTTACAAGGATTTGGTTATGCTATTGTATTGTATTGTCAATGTTATGGCGTTAAACTTGACTTGACACTACTTAAATGCAAAATAACTCTATGACGGGAACCATGTGAGGTGCTTTACCGAACTATCCAAATTCTAATAAATGAAGATACAAATAATTGGGAAGTCATTGAAATTTGAACCACACAATAAAAAGTTAAAAGTATAACTAACCGACAATATTCGTATAAAACATTTAGTGTATATATTTCTAATCTATACAAAAGATAATATTTTTTCCAAATAATGGATCCATACTTTTGTTATTTATAGAAAATACTCTTAATTAGAGTATTTTTATAATGACTTTTATTTTTCTATTCGCAATTTATCAACGAAAAGTCCTTTAAACAATTGTTTTTTAGAAGGAGGTTGTAGTTTTTTCTAGAGGCGTGTAATTTGGTCCAACTACAATTTGATTATCATGAGCAAGTTGTCATTTTGACCTGTAATAGCAGGTTATGATCTGCCATTAAAATGTTTTTTTTTAAAATTATTATTTAAATATATTTATTTTTATTGTTACTTTGTTACTCATCTTTCTAATATGTATTCATCACAAATAATAATATTATTTAATATGTCCTTAATTTGATAGTTACAATAACAATAAAAATTGATGTGTCTCTCCATTGTTATTTAAATCTATCGGTTAATTTCATTGGTTAATCTCAAAGTTGAAGAACCTCAAAAATTCAAAAACCTGTAAGGCTATAGTTGAAAGTTTGAGTAATGGTATTTGATGTTTGTGAATATAATTTTTCTATTAAGAATCATATTTTTGTTTAATCCTTTCGTTTTCTGGTAGCATGGTTATGAACGAGAGTTTATTGAAGATCGAAGATTTATGTTTGCATGTTTGTTATAGTTTTTGTTATCGTTCATTGTGGTGACGTAATGTTTATCGAATAACGAAAATATCCATTTTGTGACTTAGATTTGGTTAGTCTAGAAATATATTCGTTCAGGGTTTGTTGATTCCGTTTAACTATGTACGTGCACTTTGTTCATTTTGAATAGGTTATTTGAATAGATCTAGATGAAACATTATCAATTTTTCAAGGATCCCACAATAGTGAAAGTCATGGCAGTCCGATTGAGATATATATCGTTAGTTAAATGGTGGATGCTACACATTCATAGTTAATATTATGTGTTACTCTAGTGTAAAGTAAAAATACAAGTTTGATGTTTTGTTATATATCTTGAGTATGATTTAGGCGATATATCAGATTCGAAAGATGGTAGTTTGTCATCAGAAGAATATGTCGGAGACAACATCGGCGAGGTTGGGGGTTTCATTTTTTATGACAAAACCGCAGTTAATCGTGTGTCTGATCTGGAGAAAATAGATTTCAAAGAATTAAGTTATGAATAAATAATGCAGTACCATTTTCCAGATCGTTAAGTTGCGTTTATGTTTTACAATTGGTATGGATGTATCAATGGATTTGCTGGTAGGAAGAGTAAGATGGTAAGGAATGTCAATGGTGAAGTAATTCTACAAACATTTCTCTGCCATAGAGAAGGTGCTAGAGATGACAGATACAACAATTATGCAGTTAGAAAGCGTGAACATAAACCAACTAGCACGTGTGGTTATTTGGCAAGAATTCAAGTACATCTTGACTTCAACACTAAGTGTTGGTATATTAAATTTTTTGATGATGTTCATAACCACAAATTTGTCGATGACAAGTATGAGCGGATGCTTCCTACACACGGGAAGATGAACGAATACAACAAATACCAAATGAGGACCATGAGGAAATTGGGCATTCCAACCTCCCAGATATATGGTTTCAGGCAGGAGAATATGCAAAGCTTGGTTATTCTATGAGAGACATGTACAATAAATAGTTCAAGAAAAGGGGTTCAAAACAGTCAGATATCGATGAGGAAGTTGAATTCCTGAAGAGAATGTCATATAAGGATGACATGATGTTCTGGAGACTCACGGTCAAAGAAGATGGAATGCTTAAACATTTGTTTTGGTGTGATGGTATAGGACGCATGAAATACTCTATTTTTGGAGATGTATTGGCTTTTGATGTGACATATAGGAAAATAAGATACAATACCCCGCTAGTAATATTTTCTAGAGTTAATCATCACAATCAGAGCATAATATTTACAAGTGCAACAGTTGGTGGTGAAACCGAAGAAAGTTATGTTTGGATTTTGGAGACGTTTGTGGAAGTTAGGGGCGGAAATTATCTTATATTTGTTATAACTAATGGTGATTTGGCCATGAGGAATGAGATTAAAAAGGTATTTCCAAATGCTCATCATCGTTTATGTGCCTGGAATTTGTTAAGGAACGCCACTAGTAACATTAAGAATTCGAAATTTTTATCCAAGTTTAGGCACTGCATGTTGGGAGATTTTGATGTTGATGAGTTCGAGTCAAAATGGAATGTAATGATCAATGAGTTTCAACTACAAGAGAATAGTTGGATACACGAGTTGTATGAAAAACAGGGTATGTGGGAAGTTTTTGCTGGATTTCGGACAACCTCTAGGTGCGAAGGGCTTTACTCTGAATTTGGAAATATGTATTTGTTCTGTCAAATTTGGTTGATTTCTTGCAACAATTCTTCTGGTGGTTGAATTACATCAGGTATAGGGAAACTGAAGCAGATTTTGAGTCATTGTACGACAAGACAGTCTTACAAACTCAACACCAATGTTTGGAGGAGTCTGCAACAAATTGTTACACCAGGTCGATTTTTAAGATGCTTAGACATGTTTTGGATAGAGCCTGTCAATGCAAAGTTTAGAAAGTAACAAAGGAATGATTGGTTTTTTCATATATCGTCATGAAGTATGCGAGGCCAAATATCAAATGGGTAGTGGAATTCCTCGAAGAAAATATACAATTTGACTGTTCTTGCAAAAGATTTCAAACTTTGGGAATTGCATGTGAACATTTGATGTTTGTTTTGATATGCATGAACATAGTCAACATTCATGAGTCGTTACTTTTAAAGAGGTGAAAGAAAAGTGCAAAGGACGAGGTAAATGCGTGTAATCAAAACTCGGCTAGTATGAGGGATCCCACATTTGCAACGATATATGTTACATTTATTTAGCGTTGTAAGAGAATGGTTAATGCAACTCTGGAGTGTGGTAGCCCGAAACATTTAAGATCTACAATAGAAATGGTTGAAAAACAAACAAATGTTTTAGAAGCAGTTGGTGGAAGTGAAGTTGGTATGAGCCCTGACAATTGTATACCAGAAGAAACGAGTTTAGGTAATTCGCCACATTTTAGAAAGAGAGGTGGTGCGTCTGTGTCTACATCACAAGAAGGACAGATGATTGATATTTCAAAGAGGAGAACTATTAGAAGGTGTGGAAATTATGGAACATCGAGTCATAACCAAGCGTGTAAGGTAGTTCAAGAGTCACAAAATTTGGAGGAGGAGTCATATGGATATACAAATGTTGACATCAGCAACGACAATGAGGAGTTTAACATTGTGATGGTATGTATCGTACCTCATTAAACAATCGACCTAATATTTATGTTAATTTGTACATTTATTAACAAAATTTGTTAAGTAAATAATGCAGTGTACAATGTGATGATGGCTGGTTGGAATTAGGTGGTCCCCACTGATGATATTGTATTGAAGTTTGTTGGTGATGGTGTATTGCCTTTTTAATTTTATTGAAGGATAATGTGGTTGGTTGAGTTTTTTTTTTGCAGGATTTGTTAAATTTTATTGTAATGTGATGTTAGTTTGAAATGTGATGTTTTCTGGAAAAAAAATTATTTCTTAAATTTTTTAGTATTTCTTTATTTGATGACTTGTATGGATATTTTCTAAAATATTAGTCAATTATTGTTGTTTTATTCAAAAATGATGTTGACTTGTTTAATTATTTTGGAAATGTGAAGAAATATAAATACAGAGTAAATTATTCCAGAAATGTGAAAAAATATAAGGGATCCTTTCAAAAGTTAAACCAAACATGCACTTAATATAAACACTGTAACATACTATTTTAATTACATTTGAGAGGTATTTCTAAAAGCACGGGTAAACATTTTCAAAACCAACCAATAGTCTAGCGGTGACATTTCCAAAAGTACTTGTTAAAAAAACATTTCCATTACAATTCCCCCTAGATCTGCCCCTTTCAATTCGTTATACCCATCCAACATCAACGCAACAACAGTTCTCATCCTTACTTCTGTCGTCCAGTTGCAATTTTATATAACATAAATCAGTAAGTAAATGTAAGTAAAAGAAATTATATTTCAAATTCATTTTACATCACTAGTGTTACGTACCATTCCGGTGACACAATTTGGTTTAAAACTACTCTCCATCTCCAACCAACCCATAACCCAAACGCCAAAGTTGTCGCTATATTAAGTAAAACCGAATGAGATTTATATAATATAAGAATGCACATGCATATCAAAATGCATATCAGACATAAAATAAATACTACCTATTCCACGTGTTTGGAATTCCTCTGGCCTCCCCAATCTTCCAATCCATAAAATCTACCCGGTTGTTTTGTATAGTGAGATTAAACGTAGTCCAACCGATTAGATCTTGAAGAACCCACGCCTCACATTTTGTAATCAATAGTGTCAACAAAATCGAATATTTTGATTAAATGAGATAAGAGTCAGTATAGAAAAAGTAACTCATAATATTTTTCATGTTGTACCTCCTCCATTCGCCAACCTCCAATGGACAGTAGGAGTCAAAATGGTAAATCAATTGTTCGTCTAGGTGGATTATCATTAAGTACCAGTGTTCTTGAACAGTTTGCAAGGGAACATAAATATGTAAGATCCAGTGTTAGATTTTAAATGTCAACAAAGCGTGATTGGAAAAACGAAAGCCTTTAAAAGAAACATATGAATTTTAGATTGGACGATGATTTCAAACAATGTTCGTATTTGGCGTTTAATTCGACCAGATTGACATTCCCTGTCACATCGTTCTATAAACAACAAGGAATAAGAAATAATCAACATATAACCAACATGATTTTTCAATACAATTTAAGATACAAATGATATGAAATATAATATTGATGAACATCATAAACCTGAAATGAAGGAGGCAACACCCACACGGACGGGTTGTTTGGATCCAAATGTTCATGTCGAATTCTTTCCGTCATAAGGGTCATTACCTATCATCATATATAAAATTATATTCGCCCACACTTAGTAAATATTTAGTATAATATTGAAACACCGATGAATATGATATAAAACACTACCAATGGAGATATAACTCTGTCTGGTTGTAAGCATTGTAGTTGAGCCCTTATCGCAGTTAATTCTCCAACTTCAATGATCATTTCGTCCATAATAGTTGGGTTATTTGTCTTTTGAAAAAGGAATATTGCACATGCTCATGCTTCTTTGGGTGCCAGATCCATTTTGCATTGCGGTAAAAAATTAAGCTTTGCACCCTATCTAATCACAACAAGAAGTTGATGATATCATCTGTAATTTTTTTAAGTGTAGTTAAAGAAAAAATATTTTTGTATAAATTTGTCACCTTTGGAATACACGTTGGTGTTCCTCTTGTTTTTTTGGTATCTGCCCTAATTTTCCTATCACCTGAAAGACACATTGCTTGCTTAGCAATTGGTTGGTATTTTGGACTTTGACGAAGTGTCTGTTTTGGCGATGGAGTATGAAATAACCTCTTCGTAATATTACTATCATTTTCAACTTCACAAAAATTAGAAACATGTATTTTAATGAAATTATAGTAAGTTAAAAATGTCATTGCATGCAAAAATGTCATGTCATTGCATATATATATATATATATATATATATATATATATATATATATATATATATATATATATATATATATATATATATATATATATATATATATATATATATATATATATAAATTATGGCAAAAATAAATATACCTTTCTGTGATACGGTGGCAGAACCAATTGTTTGAAATGCTGGTTTGCATTTTGCATTTTGCAAAATGTCGCGGTAAGCAAGAGTCGCCACCGACTTTTATTTTATCCAACCGGAAAGGAAAAAAGTACAGAAAAAAATCCTTTTTCGAGATTTTGAGTACGGGGGGTAGATTATAGAAAGGGAAGGTATTAGCATCCTTTCTATCCATGGTTTTCCACGGGCTCTTAGGTACTTGCTCAATTGTTTTCAAAATTGTTTTCTTTTTGCTTGTGGGTCTGAAAAAGTTTTTGTTTTAAAACTTCCATTTAACTCTTGCTTCTGTCCTCAAGAGTGTAATGAAGTGTTTTTGAAAACTTTGTTCGAAAAGTGTAAGTGTGAAAAGTTTTGTTTTGAAAGAGCAAGTATATAAGAACCATCTACCTACTTGAAAAAGGAATTGTTCTATGCTAATTTCCTTTAGACAATGTTATCCCACTATGAATTAGTAGGTAGCACCGTCGTTGGAGTTTGAGGGTCAATTCGAATGTGGGACATACAGTCACTAAAGCAATGTTAGGACGCCTTAGCGGTAACCCTAATGTCTTAGATCATTTGTTTGAGGCAACAATATCTGAGGCAACTATTTCGAGGCAATTATGATCTTTTAGACAAGAGGACAACCTCTAAAACGACCTATACTCAATGACCGTGTACGAAGGCAACCAAGTGGGATGTACCCTAAGAGTGCGCATGTGCGAGTGTGTCGTTTTCAGTTATTTTTATCTTTGTACATGTTAAAGGTGTTCTAATTTGATTTTAAGATTAACATTCAGTCTTGTCATGCAAACCCTATTATCAAACATCTAACAATTATAATTTGCGGAAATAAAATGCGGAATTTAAATTACAAGGCGTCGGGTATTTACATCGCCA